CTGGAAGATCGTATGTGTTCGCACACTCTGGTTGATCACTGGTGACTACTATGAAGAAAATTAGCCGAGCATTAATGAGTAACGTGAGGTCAAATTTTGTGTGTATTGTTAAGGGTTCTACCGGCGAAAGCGCAAAAGCAATATCACTTGAGCGGGCGCGCATTTTCACCGGGTAAACCGTGCTTCTGCAGCCGAATCGTGCTCGCGCTCAGGTTTTGCGCCTTTGTTCGGTACCTTGTAACCACGCACAATTGTAGTCTCATGCGCTTTGCTAGTCACAACAGACCCTGTATATGTACGCTGGAAGCTACTTGCAAAGCATTCTTTCTTGACAAGGATCGCAAACAGCAACATTGTAACTGTCTTCACATACAGCTACTACGGGAGATCTCACGAGCACTTTCAGGAGAAGAATCGCTACGATCAGTTTGTCTCCAATGCGTACTTTTTTGATACAAATCATCGCTATATGGAATGTGGATCAAACTACAATTTCAACAGACCAGTCTCTTCAGACCAACCACAGCCCTCAACAAATTGTCAACTGTTCATGTCGACATCATGCACTCAATTGTAGTCACAGGAGCAGATATCCATTGAGCTTAGGTCTGCTGCGACCTTGAGAACATTTTCTTACTGTACTACACTCGACATTTAATATATCGCTTCATTATCTAGAATTTCATAGACAATTCGGTTGTATTCATATGCGTTGAGTAAAAAGTTTGGTGAGATCACACGAAGACCAACACATGAACTGCTAGCACACGAGAAGACAATAATTGCAAGAAGCAGTGCTAATTAGCCTCATCTTGCAAAGACGAGGAAAAGTTAACAGACAAATGTGCTTGTATACCAATCTTTGCGAGAATCCTTCGGCAAGGTGACACCCGTAAAACTACCATGTTGAATCACAAGGAATACCGAACAAATACGAATGATACAGACGTTAAAGATGTAGCAAATAGTATCTCCACAAGGGAACAAAGGAAAAATGTACATTTGAAAGGCATTCATTTGGCTAAATTATCAGTCGGCGTCATCCGGTGAGCGAGGTCGACGCGCCGTGGATACGGAAAAGATCTGTGACTCAGGGACAACCTTAAAATACGCAACAAAGGGTTTAGAAATGAGCATTTGGTGTACCGAATTTATTGCTGAATTTGCTGCTCTCAAAAAAGTCTGTAAAACATGTTCCCACAAGGTATCAAGTTAAACGTTGTTCCAAATTCAAGGTAAATCGTCCGTGAAATTACAAATGAGATAATATTGACTTTGTGAAATTAACCTGATTCAATGGTGTGGTTTCTTGCGGAACTTTTTTCGTACCATTCAACTCTTCCATTGGCACCCCATGCTTGGTTACATTTCTATTTTCCGGCACGTATGTTCTCTCCGTTTCAAATCGTTGTCGAGGCCTTCAAATTGTCATATCCCACATTTAAAATTTGCTAACAACAGACTCACTTAAAGAACTCTAGAGGAACTTTGGAGAGCTGTCTTTTCACAGCGTTCTGGACTTCGCTATTCAAGAAGCAGTAGAGTACAGAGATAAATATGCCCTGAAAGCAAAGTTGAATGAAAAGTGCTGGCTGAATTGTTATTCGCAGGCCCAAGCATATAGACCGCCACAAATGGCGCCGTTCATCAAAATAGATCCCTCTCTTAATCCCTGGATTAGACGCCAACACTATTCGCAGTTGCATTGACTTGACTACTGATCACTCTAATGTTTCCGCTTGTTTCATCTCCGCGACTTTAGAAGAAAGAAAAGAAAGCGGTCAACCAGGAGAATTTTTTCGTAACTCCTAACATTCAAAAAGCACCTGTGAATTCTGAAAAATTGCAGATCCTAGCATATAAACCGCACTTGGTTGTTCTGGCTCGTAAAACAGAGGGATATTCGATATCCCAAGCAGCGGGACCAGCAACAGCGTAGCTTTGATTGTTCGCCTGTAAGAAAATCCCGTTAGCCATTTTCACCAGCAACAGCTGAAACTTACCATATTTTTCTGGATTCAGCTGAGTTTTCCGTTCGCAGCTTCTGTACCAGAATAATCACTATTCCAAGAAGGAACAAGAAATTCATCTGTAAAGCTCATATTGATCATTACAAACCTAACAATGAGTAGTAATGTGTGCCCGTTTGATTGATAACAAAAAGCCACAAAGTCATAGCCAACGGTAAGTTGTGGCACCATTACCCTTTCTTTGCAATTATCAGCACTCTCATTTGACTGTGGAGGAAGTTGTAATAACTCACTATAAATGCAAATCCCATAGTTCCAGAAAGGATCCAAAGATGATTTCCTTGAGCATAAGGAACCCAACAAAAAGAATTTTGTTGTCGAGACTTGTACTCGTGCACCACAGTCCAACATATCACAACGGTGAGAGGAACACCTATAACAGTTCAAATGCAGCCACATTTTCAGTGTCCCACTTAAAGAATGACATGTTAGCGATTTTTAGGAACGTCTGAATCAACAAAAGACTTCATTCTCTTGCAATCGATGCATTCAAATAAAAATGAAAAAACTATCCCTTCTCTACTCATGACAGGACACATGTTTTGGGCGCATTGGTATAGTACCTTTCCAGCAGACAATACATTCATCAAGTTCAATTTGCGATATTTGCTCAATGACTTTTTCGGGTGTGTGTAAGGTAGAAAAGGTTCGTACCAAAGTTCTACATTCGCAATCCCAGTTTCGACGCTTAACGAGGCAAAAGCACTTTTTAGCGATGTTCGATACAAAATTAATGTTTTCACAGCGCGGCGATCCAAGCAAGAAAAACACTAACGGGCATCAATGGTGGGTCACAAAAGATTGAAAGGTCCCAAGGAAAATAATGAGATCTTTCAGTTGGAAAGTCTTCTTTCGATTCTTGCTCCTAAACGATACTTACCTAGATAACATTTTTTATTTTATCTACACTAGTCAATGAAAAGGTTTTGGCCTGAAGGCAACAACAACTTAAGATTATCTAGTTTTTCAATTTCTGTTTTGCTCATATTTACTTCACATTGAATAATGATATACAAAAACATACATTGCACATGAAATGAATCTCGAAAGGTGGTGTAGAAATTCTGTG